GACACCCCAACCTCTGTTCCTTTCCCTTACTTCCCTCAGAACCCTCCCCCAACCGGCCACAATTTCCCCCTTGCTTCCCCTTCCTCAGCGCGCGAATCCTTCATCGTTCAGGAAGCCGTTGACGGGGATCTATCTGCCCCATTACGCGAGCTCCCGACCCGGCATTTAGGGCGATGGCTGTGATTTCCATCGGCTCGGCGGGACGCGGCCCTCGGGACGCACTCGGGTTTGCTTGTTTCTTTCTTCGTGGGTGTCTTGTCTTTTTCTTAAATATGTTTGTCTGTGTGCTCTTACGTCGTATTTCTTTTTAACAAGCAGATGCCAAATAATGAAAAGGAGCTAATTTTAGATTATCACGTTTTAGTCTTTCATTTGTTTTAGAGATCACTCACTACGTAATAATCCCAGTATGAAAAAGGAAAGAAACGTAGTTCTTAACTCCAGCCCTGAGTGGTTTCTGAAGCGTTCGGAAAATAAGATATGAATGACTCTTTACTCAGTCGTTTTTTGCAAGGATGGAATTGGATAAATCTAGTGTTGACTTCTGCTCAGTTGTCCCCCGTGTGTCCTGCTGAATAGCTGTAATAAAAGAACTGAGACAACAATGGCGGCATTTCCTTCCTCGAATGGCATGCCCAGGAATCTTTCCTATTTGTGTGGCCTCCTTTTAGCAGGGTGGCCGCAGTGGAACTAGTGCCCCATATGACGACCATATGGAGCCTCGCCTTGCCTGTCCCTGAAAACAGCTTACGAAAAAGCCGGCACTCGAGAGCAGATCAGCTTGGCCACAAAGCACAACGAGACGCTAGGGAACCTGGGTCGCTTTGCCTGTTCCACTTCGTGATCTCTTCACTTTCGCAACTGACTGGTGAATTTCACTTTCTCCTTTGGCGCTTTGGAATGAATGCCCAAAAATGTGCCATCGTCCGGCTAGCACACAGTCAGCTCCCTACACCGTTTTAAACAACTCGCGAGGAATATTGTTTCTTTCCCCGTCCAGAGTAATTTTGCGAGAGGAAGCCACGGTCAAGGTCAAGGCACGGGACGAGTTCCTCGCCGCGCGGCATCAGCGAGAAATGGGCGAAATGAAACAAACGAGTTCTCTTGCATTGACACGGCAATTATTTCATTAAGGACTCTTTGCATAATATGATTAAAGATACAGTCATTTGCGGGAAGGCTAGAGGCCATAGCTTTTAAAAGTTTGTGTTTACTTTAGGGTCCTTTAGAAATGTATATACCTTTGGATTTATGGTCCTTAAGGCCTTCGCAATGTAATTCGAGCATCATGTATATTTTTTTCCTTCTTTCTCGGTCCCTTTATCGACGCGGCTCTCGACGGGAAAGGTATCCCACTTCTACAGATGTTATGCAGTGGCAGCAACAAGTGATGGCCTCTATGTTGCCATCTTTGTTGTCTTTTTTTCCCTTTTATTTCTTATTCCGTACTACCTCTTTATGGTACACGACGGCATAGAGTCAGAAACGATATCACGCAACAACTACCATAACTCCCTGACGCGAATAAGGCTACAAATATGAGAAAATTATTGTGGAACCTAAAGACGGCGCCAAAACAACCAGCCGCAACAAGGGGTTCGGATAACTAGCTCGAAACTGTCCGTCCTGACCTCCCGAACATGTCTCCGGGCGATGTGCAACGCCATCATCTCCACAGCTACCAGCATGACTTATTCCAACGGGAGCAGCGGAGTACCATCGCCATGCTCTTCAACCACCAGCACCGCTCCCTTGCCTAATTCCACTACTTCCATCTCCCCGCCACCTCCTGTCGCTTCGCCAACGCCTCGCGACCACTCGGCTGCCTCCACTATTGTTTTCCTTTTGCGTGGGGTCTCACGAAACCTTTTCGTCGCAGTCGTTCTCATATTTGTGCTAACAACATTGCCACATCATCGTCATCTATATCTTTACAAAATAACTACGGACTCATCCTCGTAACCCCATTCTCGACCTTCTCGCTTCCCCGAATGGACACCGATCCTTGAGCGCCGAATCGCGAAGTTGGGCCGAGTCTGTCTGAAAGTAGAGGCTCGTAAATTTCGCGTCGGCGGCACGAACGGCGAGGAGTTAACTACCGGTTGAGTGCCGGGCCGGTTCGGCGTGGCAACCTGTCGGAAATTACACGTTTATGAACTCTTGAAATTCAGAGAACAAGAGGCGTTACTTCTCTGATTTGAATAGCGATGGCAACAGTCACGCATAGGGACAAATGTATGCAAAATACTCGTCCACACTCGGGGCTCTGGAACCTCCACGACAACCTCTGGTCGCCGCCTTAACCTCTACGACCTGTCGTCCACCACAACCCTCCGTGCCTGCCGCCATCAGAACCTTCTCAACCGCGACAGCCTCTAACCCCTGCTGTAATCCTGGTATATCCCGCGCATGATTCCTCTGCTGTAGTGGCTCTCTCCGTCCCATGAACCGCGACTCGAGGACTACTTTATTACATATACAGTGCTGTCTTCTCCCTCATAGACCACCACCCTGTTCAGCATTTTTTTTTTTTTTTTTTTTTTTTTTTTTTTTTTTAGAAAAACGCAGACATATTACAGATTTGTGTTCCTGTGCGATATATGTGAAGCAGAATTTTTCTTAATCAGTGTTTATTTAGGTTCTTTTTTTCACTTGGCTACCCATGTTACGAGAGCGCGCGTGGTAGCCAGCCTGTAACAGCTAATGAAGTTGAGTCTGGAAGAATGCAGCGGGCATTAAAGTGCATTTAGCTGCCAGTCGGAGGCCCAGATTCAAACAGCTCTAAAACATGAGAATACATTTGAAAGCATATATGTCTGAATACTACGACCAGTGAGCATTCCCTTTGACAGTCTAATGGCTGCATGTATCCTGTAGATATCATTATTTTCAAGATCAGAAACTGTTTTCTTTTTTCCATTGCGGTGCAATAGTCGAGACCTGTTATGCAAACACGATGTTGCGAGAAGGTCGTACGGAGCGCGAGGTTGTCATGTTCCCTCCCGCTGTGCCGTGGGTCCGGGACCATTTTTTGGCTATGGTGATTATCATACCATTATAGAAGTCATAAAATTTATAATTGATTTAGCATAATTTTAGCTAATAATAGGAAGCCATGTGCAGACAGCTTCCATGTTGGTCCGGGCGGGAGCTAGACTATAAACATTAACGACAGCTCGCCTGCCACGCAACACAACAATTACTCGAGCAGTTTGCGTGCTGCGGCTACCCGCCATCACCTTAACTACCAACGACTTGTACGGCCGTCCACCCCGCTCTAACTACCCTGCTACAGGCACCTGGCGGCAAGAAAGGAGATGCCATCAGTCAGGCCTCATTAGGGGACGATATCCTTGAGTTACGGTTGACGACCAAGGAATCCTTTTTTCTTTCCTTCTTGCGATTCACAGAGATCTCTTTAATCTTGTTCTTTGTGGACCCGAAACGAGTGCTAGCTTTTGATGAAGTTATTAGGCCATTTCAATAATTCTCTTTTGCGAGTAACACACCTCTCCAGGTCATTAATCTCCTGCCCTTTAGCGGGAATCAAGAGGGTTGCCCCGGGCCGCCCTCGCCCTCCGACCCAGCGGACGGGCTCGGCAATCGGCCCTTCCGGTCGGTGATGGATGACCCTCAGGAAGCTGCCCGGTTTGAAGTCGGCCATCAGCTCACACCATACGCTCGCCGGGATCCTTAAGGGGCTTTACAGTGCCATAAAATGCCGTGCCCTCGCCCCTCCTGACTCCCGCCTCCACTCCTCCTCTCCCCTTCTCCTTTTCTTTCTATTTTTCCTCTTCCTTCTGCTCCATCTTCTTCTTACTCTCTCCTCCTGTTTCTCCTATTTCACCACATCATAATGTCATCATCATCCTCTTTCATCTTCATCCTCATCCCTACCTCCTCCTCCCCTTCCTCGTCTTCTTATTCTTTTTTTCTTTTTTTTTTCCTCCTCCCCTCCTCTCCTCCTCCTCCCCTTCCTCGTCTTCTTATTCTTATTCTTTTTCCTTTTTTTTCCTCCTCCTTCTCCCCCTCCTCTTTCTCCCTCCTCCCTCCTCCTCCTCCCCTCTCCCCTTCCTTTCCTCCTCCCCTCCTCCCTCTCCTCCCCCTCCTCCTCTCCCCCCTCCTATTCCCTCCTCCTTCCTCCCCCTCCTCCTACCCTCCTCCTTTTTCCTCCCCCCTCCTCCTCCTCCCCTCCTCCTCCCCCTCCTCCTCCCTCCTCCTCCCCCTCCTCCTCCTCCTCCTCCTCCTCCTCCTCCTCCTCCCTCTCCTCCTCCTCCTTCTCCTACTTCTCCTTCTCCTACTCCTCCTTCGAGATGAGCCCGTTTGAATTTTAATCAGTGAGATGAAGGGACGTGGAAGAGGGAGAGTGTTTGTGTACAAAATTTTTGGTTTGTAGTTAAGACGTAGAGAAAGAATAACACGTTTTTGTTTCATCTACTCCTACAACATTACTTTCTTCCTCTCTTCCTCCTTCCTTTCTCTTTCTCTCTCTCCTCCTCTTCCTCCTCCTCCTCCTCCTCCCCTCTAGTCCTCCTCCTCCTCTTCTTCTTCCTTCGCTCCTCCTCCTCCTTCTCCTCTTTCTTCTTCCTCCGCCCCCCCACCCCCTACCTCTCCTCCTCCTCCTCTTCCTCCTCCTCCCCCTCCCTTTCCCCTCCCCCCTCCCCCTCCCCCTCCACCTCTTCTTCTCCTTCTCTTCCTCTTCTTCCTTCTGCTCCTCTCTTCTGATATGTGTGCCTAGGCGAAAATATTTACAAACTAAAGGAAGCGATATAACATGAAAGGGAAGAAATGTAGAAACTTGTAAGGAACGAAGATGAAATGAGGCAAAATTAAGTAAACGAGACAGAGACACAAGATAAAAGAACGCGGGAAGGAACATGAAAAGGTCGATGTGAAAAAGGACGTCACCCACGCGACGGCGGCGCAGCAGCGGGAGGGCGGACTGGCATACCGGCACGAAGGACCTCCCTGACCAGCTGGCTTTGACCGATAATAGTCATGCGCCGTGTCATGCCCACTGGTACCCCCCCCCCCTCCTTTTCTCTTCACTTAGCCGTCTTCCTGTTTCTTCTATGCATTAAAACCTTTCTTTCTCTCTGTTTGACTTTGCTTCTGTCACTTCCTCTTCTTCACAGTTCTTTTGCTGTGTTTCCTTTCTTTCTCCTCTCTCTCTCTCTCTCTCTTCTCTCTCTCTCTCTCTCTCTCTCTCTCTTCTCTTCTCTCTCTCTCTCTCTCTCTCTCTCTCCCTCCTCTCTCCTCCCTCCCTCCCTCCCTCCCCTCCCCTCCCTCCCCTCCCTCCCTTCCCTCCTCTCCTTCCTCCCTCCCTCCCTCCCTCCTCCTCCCTCCTCCCTCCTCCTCTCTTCTTCCCGCCTTCCCCTCCCTCCTTCCCTCCTTCCCTCCCTCATTTTTCTCCTTCCCCCCCTCTCTCTCTTCTCTCTCTCTCTCTCTCTCTTCTCTCTCCTCTCTCTCTCTCTCTCTCTCTCTCTCTCTCTCTCTCTCTCTCTCTCTCTCCCTCTCCACTCATCTCTTCCTCTCCTTTTCTCCGCCTTACCCCCTCCTCTTCCCCAATCTCCCCCTTTCCCTTTCACCCTCCTTCTCTCCCGCTGTCCCTCTTCAGGCCCGCCTCCCCCCCTCCCCTCCTCCCCCCTCTTCTCCATCTCCTCATTACCTTGACGATCGTTCGGCCTCATGTCTTGCGCTCTCGTTGTTTACGCGTTTATTGCTCGTAATTCTTAATTTAATATTCGCAGCCTCCACTTTTCCTTCATTTTCTCTTCTTCTTCGTATTTTTTCGTAATTATGATTTTTATATTTCTCGTCTCTTGGCCTCTTCGCTTTTCCTTCGCTGCTATCATTATCTGGCTGTCCTTTTTCTTCCTCTTCTTTTTCTTCTCTCTTCTTATCTTTACGTTGATTTTTTTCTCTTTTTCATGATTTCCTTTCTTTCTTCTTTTGTATCAGTTTATTTGTTTTATTGTTGTTATGGCTGTATTTCTTTTGGCGCAGTTCCTATTGATGTTTTTCTTATTTTTGTTATTTCCTCATGCCTCCCTCTCTCCCTTCTCGCCTTCTACTCTCCCCTTCTCCCACTTCTCCTCCTTCTTCTCCTCCTCTTCTCCTCCTCCTCCTCCTCCTGCTCCTCCATCTCCTCCTACTCCTTCTCTTCTTCCTCTTCCTCCTCCTCCTCCTCCTCCTGCTCCTCCATCTCCTCCTACTCCTTCTCTTCTTCCTCTTCCTCCTCCTCTTCTTCCTCCTCCTCCCCCTCCTCCTTTTTCCTCCTCCTCCTCCTCTTATCTTGATTACAGTATCTTAAAATCACTTTCCTAATTCCTTGTTACCGCAATACTCACCTATATTTAATCTATTATTATTACTAATTATCTTATTATTTCATCCATCTTGAATATTTCCTTTCCTTCTGTGTAGGAAAGAGTCTTCAAGTTATAATTATAATTCCCTTCGCATATTTTTGGTCGGTCTATTCGCTCTCTCTCTCTCTCTCTCTCTCTCTCTCTCTCTCTCTCTCTCTCTCTCTCCTTCTCTCTCTCTCTCTCTCTCTCTCTCTCTCTCTCTATCTATCTTCTTATCTATCTCTCTCTCTTTCTCTCTCTCTAATAAAATATACCGTGCATGAATAACTCAGCTGCACATGACTAAATTAACCGCAGCTGACTGCACCCGCGCGCTTCATGTAACATTCAATTCTACATTTTCCTACTTTCTCTTTTTTATTGCGATTTCTTGAGACGATGAAAAGACCAATTAGTCGCTTGGTTCGTGCCTAGACACCGTCCTCCCCGCACCATCACCTTCACGGTAATTATTCTGTCATTAGCATATCTCCTTCCTCGTAATCAGCCCATCAGTCCGTTTTCTTTTGAAGATATGAATTGCTACTGCATTATTTTTTCTGAAAGTGGTCCTCTTGTGCGATAAATATTTGTTATTATATTTCTCTCTATAGTTTCTTTTGTCTTATTTCTCGTTTTCGCGCAAGTAATTTTGCAACTACCTTCGCATTCTTTTACTGCATAACCATTTCCCAATAGCAAGTGTAAAAAGAAGACGAACGGGAAACCTTGGCCCGGCGGGGCTCACTATCGCATCATCAACTCGCAGTTCTCCTTCTTTATACCAGAACGGAATAATGCAGAGACACCCGAACGACAGGGTTTTGGATCCTTCTCGTGTGGACTCCATGTCGGGGAGGAGTCAGGAACCATTAGCATTTATATGGCTCGCTGTTGCACACGTAATTACATCTTTAACTCACAGTCCGACCGCAGGAGGGCGCCAACATCGACTTACCTCGTTCAGAGCCGAGACGTGACGAGAGAAATGACATGTATTGCGCGATTCGCTAAACAAATGAAGATCGTAACAGTGTATAAACTCGGCAAGGCGTCTCGACGCGCCCACAGCTTGAAGGTTTCAGATTCTCTTTAGAAAAACAAGTGGCACGAGGGCATTACAAGGTGAAAGTCCGTCGGAGACAAAACAGTAGCGGTCGGGGTGTCGGCGGGGATGAACGGGGAGTTCGTCAGGCAGGTTGGGAGGCCATGGCAGGCGCTAGAGTGGGCGGTCGAGGCATGTTTCTCACTGATCGTACGGAAATGCGTTCTTGGAGATTGCGAAGTTAATGCACGTCGAAGTCCAGGTTGCGGATGCCAACGGGAACGTCTCTGCCGTTTTGGGGTTTAGATTCACTGATGACTTTATTCTCCGTTGGGGGCTCTGGCATTAGGGTTTTGCTCTCTCTCTCTCTCTCTCTCTCTCTCTCTCTCTCTCTCTCTCTCTCTCTCTCTCTCTCTCTCTCTCTCTCTCTCTCTCTCTCTCTTCTCTCTCTCTCTCTCTCTCTCTCTCTCTCTCTCGTTTCCTGCACTGCGCACCCTGCATCAGACACAACTCCACCCAGATCTCTCACCCAAAATACCCACACAATACGCCACAATGATTGACTACTGTCTCACATCAGATACAAAAACCACTTGTCGTCTTTTATCGCAATAAAGACATGAATTTTAAGTATATATCATTGGCCCATGTGCAGTAAAACCGGTATGAGGCCCAACCCTGACAGTCTCCTCGTCTCTTCCCTCACAGCGTACGGCAATCTGGCCAACATCCTGAGTTCGCAGGGCAAGAAGGAGGAGGCAGAGTGGGCCTACAAGAAGGCTTTGTCCTACCGATCCAACATGGCGGACGTCCACTATAATCTGTAAGTCCTTTTTCTTCTTGCGTCTAGTTCTTGTTTCGTCCTTAGTTCTTGCCCCACTCTGGCCTTTTTTATTCTGAATTGTGATTGGGTCGTTATCATTTTGATTGCCAAGTGGGAGAATGATTCGACAGGTTTCCCACTCGATAGGGTGTGAATTATGAATTCTATTGGTGATGAAAGTGCCAATAGTAATCGTCTTGTTTTATCATGGTATATTGGTGCTCGTGTTAAAATTTGATGGCCGAAGTAATACAAAATGCAGCACTTTAGAGGTAATTAGGATGTTAATAAGCGCCATTACTGTAGATATCGCCATTATGATTCTGATAGAAGTATTAGCAGAATTGGTTACAGCACAGTTAGGGTACTAATGCACTCCTCTACCTCTTACCTTAAAAATTAAGTAGCAGAGATGATTCAGTTGATAATAAGTGCTGATAATCGCAACAATAATCGTAATCAGAGTTGAAAGCAAAATGTTACAAATATTATGTATAGTAACGATTGCAGTACAGTAATGACAGTGATAATTCAGAATTGGCAGAAATGATAGTAATGATACCAGTGAACTGCAAGCGAACAGCTGTTGTATCCCGCTGTAGGTTTAGGTACGGACGGAAATAGTATCATAATGTTTCATAATTTCATATAATTTTTAAATCTCATTTGTCATAAGAAGTGAACGGTTATCAAAGAGAAAGAACGCAAGCATATTACCTTGAACATCAATAAAATTTGCATTGTTATTCTAGAACAAAATTGCCGAAAAGTTTAATGAACTTTTACAAACCGGTTGGTTTTACCCTGCTGCTGGAAAAAATATATTTTTATTCTGACTCCTGTTTATTTGTGTTATTTTAGCCTTTACCATGATTAGCATTATCGGTAATATGCCACTGTATCTGTTAGCTGTGTTACTGTTATCATCCTCATCAATATTAAAATTATCGTTTGTATGGACATTATCAGTATTACTTATCCTTTGGTTATGTAAGTGAATAATATTGTTTTTTATCCATCCCATCTTTTGACTGAGGACCTTAAGCTAACCCTCCTTTGACTCTAAAATTGATGCTCTATATCATCCCCTTCGTATGCTCTAACCACGAATGAACTATTCTTTGCAGAGGTATATTGTTTCAAGAACAAAAGCGGTACGAAGAAGCTCTACAAGAATATAAATTAGCGATACAGTTCAGGCCGAGGATGGCAAGTAAGTCCTCGATTTTTATCTTGTTTGCACTTTCGGTGTCTTTGTCCTTTAACATAGGATTGTATTAGCGTTACAATTAGTACGCAGTCTGCAGGCGAATGTGAATAAGAATAACGTAGCAACATGTAACAACATGAGCATAGTCAGGCTTGAAGCCTAGAGCCTGAAGTCTTAGATTAGTGAAGCGGACCCGGTGACTGCAGCATCACGTTGCCTGTTTTTGTTTTGATTAGAACACGGGATTCTTGACTCTTCTGGCCTCCTTTTTAATAAAGCACAGTGCTTTCCAAATGCGCTAAATCCCCCCCTACCCCCCCCCCTCAGTGGCGCACCTCAACATGGGCCTTGTGCTGGGCCTGATGGGGCAGAAGGCGGAGGCGGCGGAGGTGTACCGCCACTGTTCGCAGCTGGACGGGTCCGGCCTGAAGGACCCCCGCACGCACGAAGCCACCAAAATCTCCGCCCTCTTCAACCTCGGCAGACTCTACGCTGATGACGGAAACTTCGAGCGGGCCATCGGGGTGTACCAGGAGGCCGTCGAGAAGATGCCGCCGCACTACCAGCCACAG